ACTTTATTTTGTGTTTGAGTCATTTCTCGATGTGTCCAGCAGGGGCGCTATAACAATTAAATGAGTTAAGGCTTGCACACAAAAAATAAACAAAAAGAAAAAAATAATAATTATAAATTGTGTTTGTGTTTTAGGGTGAGCCTGGCAAACCAGGAAAAGGAGGTGAGCGTGGACCTACTGGACCTCAGGTGAGTARCTTCAGGTTGTTGATTCTTTCTAACATTTTCTGATTATTCAGTTTGTTGTTTCTTTTGGGTGTTTTGCAATATAAATTATGATAGGAATGAACTTACTAAAGCTAGTAAGTATTTGTCAACGTCAGTGTCATGAATTAAGCAGCCTAAATTGCCAGTAGTTTTGCAATTCATTATACATTTTAAATATATTCAAATTTTTATAAAATTACAAATGAAAACTTTTGCATTGGACTTCAATACAAGAACTTTCAGAACAAATTATATCAGCAGTGTCTTAGCAATGAGTTATGAAACAAACACGGTCGACCAGAGTGAACTTTTTGTTTATGTTCTTTTTTTATTCAACCTTCTGAGCAGTTTGTTAGTCTGTTTGATTTGCATAAACATACAAAATGACCTAAGTTCTCAAAATAAATTTCATAAAAATAATTTATAGAGACTAATTTATATCCGACTATAAGATCATGTTAAAACAACATATTCTGTGTTATCATCTTTCTTTCTGTATTTTTTACTGATGGTCCTTGTTTCGCAGGGAGCTCGTGGATTCCCAGGAACACCTGGTCTACCTGGAATCAAGGGACACAGAGTGAGTTTGTTTAAAAGGTTTCTGCTACAGTTCCGTTTGCACCATCGTCCTCAGATTTCTCATTGTTCTCTTGTCACCTTTTTTTAGGGTTACTCTGGTCTTGACGGTGCAAAGGGAGAAACTGGCGCTGTTGGCGCTAAGGTGGGATGTTGGAGTYGTTTTGTGTCTTTTGTGGCCTGTTTGTTGCTACTGTCTCAGAAAACATCAGATTAATTTAATTGCTGTACATTTTGAATCTTTCTTGTTGCAGGGGGAGGCTGGTGCTCCTGGAGAGAGCGGTGCACCTGGACCCATGGTGAGTATTTAATGGTAATATTGTGAGAACAAACAAAGGGAGGGATGCTGTAGCTCACTGGAAACAGTTGCAGTCTCATAATCCTGAGTCTGTTGCATCTGTTGTAAAACAACTTCCTAATAATTTCAGTGAATTCCCTCACTGTGGTGATCCTTGCATCTAAATGAACAAGGTATATTTATACACAATAAAGATGATAAATCAATGGTAAAAGCAGAATCTCTTCTCTTTTACCTGCATGTAGGGACCTCGTGGTTTACCTGGTGAGAGAGGACGTCCTGGACCCTCTGGAGTTGCTGTAGGTGCACTCTTCCTTTAAAAAAATATTTTCTTTGGATGTAAAAGTTATATGTAACACATGATTTTTTTTATCACAATGTGTTTTTCAAAATAAGAGCTGACTAATTTGTACCAGTTAAAGGCAGTTTTGACCCTGGTGGCTTTATTCGTACCTATCCTGATTGATTGTTTGTTCTGTTTAGGGAGCACGTGGAAATGATGGCTTGTCTGGTCCTGCTGGTCCTCCTGTGAGTATAATTTTAAATTTCACTTTTATCACTTTAATCTTTTGCTTTAAAATATAGAAGAAGTGCAGAATCCTGTATAAAAATCATCCTATTTTGAGACTTGAACGTCTCCACACACTCCACTGCAGAGTCTGAACCTTCCCACCTGAATTCGTCTCGTGTTTTTCCTTCTCTGTAGGGTCCTGTTGGTCCAGCTGGAGCTCCAGGCTTCCCTGGTTCTCCTGGTTCAAAGGTAGGCCACAGGTTTAGCTCAGTTTTCTTTTTCAGGTGTACTTTGTTGTTGCAGTGTTGTTGTGTCTCGGGTGTTTGCTCATTTCTTTAGGACTTACAAAACTTGCCAGCAATAAAGGACCGTCAGTCAGTCATTTTTTGTTTTACTTTCAGCTAGAAAATCTTAAATTTAAGGAGCTGAAGATGTATTTTTATATAAAAGATAAAGTAAATATCTTGGGAAATGCCTTCACTTGGTTCAGGGAAACTTTTGGGGTATAAAAGATCAGAATAAGACTTTCCTGCTTCCATGTGTGTAGAAAAAAAACAGCGGCAAGTATTTTTAGGTGTGCCTCATCTTTGGATCTTCCTGTACTGTCCTTTTTTTTCTTCCCTGTGAATTATTCCTGCAGCATGGGAACAGATCGAGTTATGCTGAGGGTTCGCTTTGTTCTTCGAGATACTTGAATGTGTGGAAAACCTTTTAGGAATTGTAAATGGAGTATGCTGTTTTAAAAAGCAGAATAAGCTCAGTGAAGTGTGTGAGAAGTGTAGGTTGGGGGGGGGTGCGTTTTATAACAACAAATATTTTAAAGCACATTTTGTGTTTAGTTCTGCAGAGTTTTTTGTGTGTGAAAGTTTGAATGACAGCACATTTAAAAAATGTCCCTATAGAGGGGAAAAAAAGCTCTTCTGCTTCTGCAAGATTCTGCTTCTGAATGTTTATTTATTACAGTTTATTTTTCCCTCCCTTCTCCTTTGAGTCCTATGAGTACAGTTTTATTTTTGCATGATGGACCTAAGTTCAGCACCTGGCAGCGACGCAGTAATCCAAACCTGAATAAACCGGGCTTCTGAAATGACCACGTCTGCAYGGGGGAAAGTTTGACTCAGCTCCAGCATTCACTGAACTAAACAGCAAACAGACAAAACCCATAAGCAAAACCCTTGAAATATTTTTTTCACCAGTTTAGAAAGTGCCTACTTTTATTCAGGTTCTCACTCCGGTTTCAGCTCCTAGGTGCTGACACTGGATTCATCAAGGTGAAAAATTCCATCCTCGGGGCTTTATCAGCATTTTCCCCCCTCCTCCATTGTTTAGAAACTCTGTTTGTGTCGTAGTGTTGAGTTTGCAAAATCAATTTGCGTTTCCTCGGCTGTTGTTGCAGCAGGAATTCCATTCAGCAGCGAGCGGCTGCATACCGGCAGTAAAACGTCTGGCTCAGGTCCTGAATGTGCCTTCTCAGAATAGTTCCTTCTGAGTAGAGGCCCGCCTTTTCTTTCAGCACTGACTCAAAACATCTGCTCAGTATTATTTAATTTACTTTGAACGACATTACTAAAAATGCTTTACAAAGAAAGGGAAGTCAGTGTTATTTTTTCATCCATTTATCTATTTACTCACATTTTTTTTTAGTTTGGGGTCACAGGGAACTGGTTCCTAAAATCTTACAGTTACTGTGGGAAAAGTGGGGGTACACCATGTGTGGGTCTCAAGTCCAAAACAACCATTCCCACCTAGGGATRATTTAGAGTTACCATTTAATGTAGCAAGCATGTTTTTAGCCTGTGGGAGGAAACTACATTGGTCCATTACATGATGTGGCTGTGTAATGCTAACAGGAAGTTAGCAAATCTTTGTTAAGGTGAAAATGAACTGGGCGGGTCCTCCACAGTTACATAATGACAGCTTAGACTGCTGTAACAGAAGGATGTCTACCTTTTAAATATGCAGCATTGTTCTCTGTCATTACTCCTTTTATATCACAGTTGATTACTTTCAAAGGTGAAATGAAATTTTCATTGTTGCTCCCTCATTTTTTTTAGTAAATCATCCTTTTCAATCAGCTCTGTTTTGGTCAAAATGATAGTTATTATAATATAAACTTACTATAGCAGCTCCCTGTGTTAAATATGGTGGCATGGTTCTATTTTTGGACATCCTTGCTGTTCGTTGTGTAAATGTCAGAGAGAGAGAGAGAGAGAGAGAGAGAGAGAGAGAGAGAGAGAGAGAGAGAGAGAGA